GATCATTGCAATGAAACGAAATACGATAGGATGAATGTAAAACTGATGTTCTCCATGTAAACCCACATAATTCACAATAAAAACTTAAAAAAAAAAAAAGACTCGTATTCTTCTCAAACAATCATGGAATCTAAAGATAATAAAATTACAGCTTGGATGAAAGGTATAGAGAGAAATTGCTATAACTAAGATGAAGGAATACTCATATATTCAAATTGATAATTATAGAGATAGATTTTAGTTGTTGAACAGCCACTTTGCAGCTTAATTTCTTTTTTAGTTTCAAATATAAAATAGAAATGACAATTGAGAATTGTTGAGAAGGTTAAGAGAGATAATATATGTCAGAAGTTCAGCAAAGTACCTGACACTTGGCAATTGCTATTAATGAACTTACTATTATGACTATAAGAAAAAGTCATGCAACCAACTCAAGAATACTAATATTATCTTAAAAGTTAATCACATTTAAAATCTTTCATACTAATGGAACATTTAAGGAAAAAATGCTTACCTCTACAAAACTTGGTATGGTATCAACATTTTTTGCTACTCCTCTTCCCACTTCCCTAAAAGGACTCAATACTTAGGACTGTTTCATACTTTTTCTAGGAGACACTAGATGTATCCACTATATATACACATCCTTCCTTTCCAACTCCATGTGTCTCCTCTGTAGGCTCAAGACTATGATCCTCAACTTTAGTGGGCAGAAATATCAACAAATAAGCTTATTAAAAATTTGTATTTCCAAGGTATCATTCCTAGAGTAAATAATTTGATGGAACAACAGTGGCCCAAGAAGCTGAAGTTTTAAAAAGAGAAGTGAGGCAAAGTTCCACCGATTTGGGTGAACATTGATACTTGTTTCATCATCGGTTCCAGCTTCGTTGTTATCACCTAGTATAAAATATTCATATTTCTTACATGAAGTAGAAAATAAAATGGGGAGGAAACCTCCACATAGAAAATAATTTACTATTTTTAAGAACTAAAAGTATCTCAGTAAGAACAATTTTCATTGATGAGCAGATTAAGAACATATGGGAAAGTGAAATATTTGCTCACATGGTAGTATTTTGCTCTGGATTATAGAAGACAGTTTGAAAACAAACCCAGGTGGACATTTAAGTAAGATAACTTTACCTTTAATGATATTTTACAAACCATTCATCTTAAAAATTCGATTATTTCTATAAAAATAATTACCTCTCATGTTTAAAATGACAGGAGCCATTAAAGTGTTTCAAGCCTATGACTGTGTATCAGTAAGTTTTTCTTCGGCATTGACTAAGTCTTCTGAGTTCTTACGAAGATCAGATTCACCTGAAAAAAGCAAAAACAAGCAAACAAACTAACCAAAACCAAATAGGTCTTTAGGAAAAATTAATAGGGTCACGAGACTGGAGTAATTTGTTGACTTGGTGCTGTAGGATAAGCACTAGAATGGTAACTGCAATTCAAACCCACTAGTTGCTCTTGGAAAATCTGTAATGGTTTGCTATGAGTCAGAACCAACTCAACAGCCTACAACAACAATAACATCACTAGAAGTTGAATTTTATAGGGTATTTTGTGGGATCTTTTACCAAAAGGTACAAGGAATTTGCTTTTCATGTTGTTTATAAAGTATAGCAGAGTCCTGGGGTTGCGCTGTAGGATAAGCAGAGGACTGCTAACCACAGTTGTTGTTGTTAAGTGCTGTTGAGTCATTTCTGACTCATAGTGACCCTGAATAGAGTTTCCAAGGAGCAGCTAGTGTATTTAAAACTCTATACAGGGTCACTATGAGTCAGAAATGACTCAACAGCACTTAACAATAACAACATTGAGTTTAACAAGACATTTTATGGTACTTATACACCTCTTTGGAGTTGCCATTTAATCTGGAAATACAAAAATGAAACAGATGAGAAATGTTTACACATTAAATAACATGTAAAGACTATGCATTTCCTGAAGTTTTTTCTAATTGAAAGAAATCATTTCAAACAAAAACAAACAAACAAAAAATCTTTAATGGTCAGTGTCTTTTACCACACACTGCTTGGTTACTGTGAATTTAAAACTAAAGAGTAGTAATGTTTTAAATAGACATAATTTATCAACACCACATAATGGGATATATAGTCATAGAATGACTCAGCTTTTATATAAACCTTGAGGGGAAACATTAGCATAAAATTTCTGCTAAGATTGTAGAGAATAAAGATAGAAATAGCCACCCACTGCTAGCAAGTCGATTCTGACTCACAGTAACCTTGTATAGGGTTTCCAAGGTTGTAAATATTTACAGGAATGGAAAACTTCATCTTTCTCCTGTAGAGTGGCTGGTGGATTTGAACCACCAGGATAGCAGTCTAGTGCTTATCCTACAGTGCCACTAGGGATCCTTAAGATAGAAATATATATTTTAAAAATATATGATTGAAAACAAACAAACATACATATAAATATGGTTGAGAGTTACTGAGCCTGGGGTTTCAGAGCCTTAGTCTCAGGGGACACCATGAACAACTGGCATAGCATAGTCCACAAAGACAATGTTCTACATCTTGCTTTGGTGAGCAATGATCTTAAACACTCATGAGTGGCCATCTAAGGTGCAGAGGAAAGAAGAGAGATGAAAACTGAAGACCATTGAAATCAGTGAGCCTAATGGACTAATGGAACACATAAACATCATCCGTCTCTGAGACTACAGGATGTAGATATTGCCCAGCAACCATTACCAACTGCTCTGAAAGGGATAGCATTAGAAGATCCCAGATACAGTGGGAGGAAATGTGGAACAAAACTCAAAATGATAAAAAAACTGGGCTTACTGGTCAGAAAGCTACTGTTGGAACCTGAGAATATGGCCATTGGCCCCCTGTCAGGTCTGGAATGGAACTCTCCCTCATGGCCCAATTTTTAGCCAAGCAGTTATTGTTGTTGTTGTTCAGTGATGTCAAGTCGGATCTGACTCATAGCGACCTTGTATAGGGCTTCCAAGGAGCAGCTGGTAAGCTTGAACCACCAACCTTGGAGTTCAAAGCAACTTTGTAGTCCACACATTAACCCATGGTGCCACACCAGGACTCCAGCCAAGCAGTAGGTGGATATATATGGAGGACAACAACACTAGTATGGTATGCTCACCATGAAATGGTCAACCATTCAAGATCAAAAAGACAACACTTACCTACAGACAAAGTTCAGAAGGGATAGGAAAGGGAGTGGAGTGGAAATAACCACAGGGAGGAAGTGGGGCAACTGATGTTGTATGGAGAAGCTTGCCATCATTGAGATAAAACGAAGTATGATTTGTTGAATGTAAAACTAATGATCTGTTCTGCAAACTTTCACTCAATTCCCAATGAAAAATATTTATATATGTACACACACATATATCTGGATGAGAACCTTACAATAGGAGAAAGAAGATAAAAAAAAAAAAAAAAAGGCAAAAAGAAATTATTTTCTGAGTCACTTAAATACTTTTATATTTAGTGAAATAGTCATGTGCAATAGATTGCTCTTTGTCTCTGAAGTCTGTTTGGAGATATTTTAACAATTAATTAGACCTGGAATGTCTTTATAGAAGACATGGACATATCCATGCTCTCTTCAGAGAATGTTTGCCAAACATCAAGGCTAAAGATTTCTTATCATCTTAGCATGGCCACATGAATCTCTTGTTTCTTTTTAACTTGCACAGTCCCTGGGAATTAGTTGGCATACTTCCAGCTTCTGTTTGTTGAGATTCCATCACTCTTCCAAATATCGGTGGCCCATATTTGATTCACACAAAATTCTGATGAAGCATTTGCCTTCAAAAACTCTTTAAACAAAGGCTGAAACCTACACAGCCTCCTTTACTGTGGCTCATGTAGCACTAGGTAATCCTTTTGATCTCTCATGCAGGAATTGGAATCCATTCCCAATATCCTCTTGCTTCAAGCTTTCCCAAGCATACTAGTGAACGCTTCCTCTTCTGAGAGGAGATGAATAGGGAAGCATTCCTACATCTTTCTCAAAAGCACAGCTGTTTTTAAAGAACTCCTACTCACAAATCTTTCTTCAGTTTTCAATAACTGGACCAGTTCATGCATTTGAACTGGGTGAGAGCTTTTGAATTCCTTCCTCACAACCTATTTTATCTTCTGACACTTATTACCTTAGGGTCTTGGCTTGAACTTTTGATTTAACATCCTGTTACTTAAGACTAAACTAGAACAGTATAGACCATAATGGAATTGAACAAAATAGAAGAGAATAGCATAACAAAAAAGAAGGGCATAGAATGGAACAGAATAGAATAAAACACAATAGTCTGGAGTAAAGAGAAGGTATATAAGTAACTGGTGTGGTCCTGTAAGATAAGCACTAAACTGTAAGGTTGGTGGTTCAAACTCACCAGTTGCTCCTGAGAAACCCTATATAAGGTCACTGAGTCAGAACTGACTTGATGACACTTAACAACAACAACATGTAAGCCATTAATTCATGAGCACCGAGATCCACAAACTCCCAAATGTTCTTAATTTTAGTAGATAAAGAACAGAAGATGAACATGTTAAATTGCTGAAACGTTGCAGCAATTATAAAAAATAACCCCCCAAATGATATGCAAATTGCATCCTAGAATAAATTTATACATGAATTTAGAAAATCAGCAAAAACTATAACCACTTTAAGACAAGAATTATGTAGCACTGAAAAGCAAGTATCTTCCTTGAAAGCAGAATTCCTCTTGCTTGAGTAGCTCATACATAACATTGACAAGCATTGATGTTAGCCCAATTACCTACTGGGTTACAGTCCTCAGGAAATGCACATCTTTAGGTTGTTGTTAGGTGCCATCCATCTGGTTCCAATTCATATCGACCCTGTATAGGATTTCCGAGGAGCAGCTGGTGAGTTTGAACTGACAACCTCACTGTTCAAACTGACCTTGAGTTTGACTGCTTATCCTATGGTACCACACCAGGACTCCAATCTTTAGGCTGTTGTTGTTAAGTGCTGTTGAATCAGATACGACTTAATAGCAACCCTGTATAGAGCATCCAAGGAGCAACTCTTGAGTTTGAACTGCTGACTTTGTGGTTAAAACCAAGCTTACAGTCCCATGCTTTATCCCACAACGCCACATAATTTAGGTAATACCATCTGTAAGTAAATGTGCCCTGGTAACATAGTGGATTACAGCCTAATCGCTAACTGCAAGGTCAATAGTTTGAATCTACCAGTCACTCCTGGTAGATGAGAAAGATGAGGATTTCCACTCCCATAAAAATTTACAGCCTTGGAAACCCTACAACAGGGTCATTATGAGTCGGAACCTACTCCACTACACACAACCAACACCACCATCTGTAAGTAACCCTTGTTGTTGTTGTTAAGTGTTGTCGAGTTGGGTTCCGACCCATGGCAACCCTGTATAGGGTTTCCCAGGAGCAGCTGGTGAGATTGCACCACTGACCTTGAAGTTCAAACTAACTTCACAGTCCAGTGCATTAACCCACAGTCACACAAGGACTAAGTAATTCTTAGTCTTTTATAAGAAGAAATCATATTATGATATATCACTTTGCCAGAAAATAAACAACTTGTATTTTTTGATCCATTAAAGAGCATCTTAAATGACCTTCATGACCCTAGAGTTGTTGATAATGAAAATGTAATCTTGTAAACATTTACAGCCTCAGAAACTCTAACAAGGTCCCTGTGAGTCAGAACTGACTCTACAGCACACAACCACCACCACTGCAAGACCAGTAAACTGACCTTGTACATTCACTTTACTGAAATGATTTGCAGATTATACATATAGTCAACTATCCCTTAGGAATGCAACATAATATATTCTATTTCAAGTCAATACCTAGAAGCTAGTCCAATTTTACATCAAGGAAAATGATAGCAGAAGTAAGGGATCTGGATTATTCACTGTATCTCAAAGAGCTTTGAGGTATTCATTTAAACCAGTTTTAAAAGTTTAAACTTGGAAAAATAGTTTCTAAAAGGAGGGAAATATTTTGGCTTTAATTTCTACAGTTTAAATTCAGCATGGTAGGGGGAGTGGTCATAGGAGAGATAGACCTACAGAAATGTGACACAGTGAATAATCTAATGTCACTTCTTGCCATAGTCTGTAATTCCCACCAAACATTTCTGCCCTGCTGAATCTGGGTAAGAAAAGGTGGGAGAAGGTACTGATAGGATGGCATGATTCAGCTGTGGATGTTAGCAGAGTTCATTGTAATTGTAAAAACCTCCAACTCTATAGTTCTTGTTAAGTGCTGTTGTGTCAGTTCTGACCCACAGAGGCCCTGTATAGAGTT